CGCCATCTACATCAACATATTACAGACTTACATCGTGAACAGCAAAACAGCAAAGCAGCCATGCCATCAAAATTTAAAGTTTTTCGTGGTCAAAGCTTATTCATGGAAGCCTTTGAAAAAATGAAAAAAACCAAAGGTGGACTTATGTCGTTTAATAATTTTTTGTCGACAAGTCGTAATCATGAGATTTCTTTACAAAGCTATGCACGGCTGGCAGCATTCGATGAGAATTCAGTTGGCATCCTCTTCATTATGAACATCGATACGGCCATTTGCACAGCATCATCAACACCTTTCGTCAACGTCAAAGATATTGGCTTCTTCGACGATAAAGAAGAAGAAATTCTATTTTCGACACATACAATTTTTCGCATCGATCGTATACAATGTATTGAAGATAAGCATACAGATCGTCTCTGGCAAGTCAATCTCACCCTTGCTGGTAATCAAGACGATGATTTTAACAAACTTACAGCACATTTACGTGAAGAGCTTCACATTGTGGGAACAGGATGGTCTCGACTGGGTCAAATTCTTATTAAGTTGGGTGAGCCTGCAAAAGCAGAACATCTCTATCAGCTACTCCTTGAGAAGGCATCTTCTGATGCATGCAAAGCGCAGTATAATGGTGAACTTGGCACGGTGTATAAAGACATAGGAGAATACTCGAAGGTAATAACATTTTGCGAAAGAGCAATCGATATCTACAAGAAAACGGACCCTCCGAGTCAGCTCGGCTTGGCTACTTCCTACAACAATATCGGTTTGGTATATAACAACATGGGCGAGTACTCGAAAGCACTCTCATCATACGAACGATCACTTGAATTATAAAAAAAAAGCTCTCCCTCCGAATCATCCCAACTTCGCTGATTCCTACAACAACATCGGTTTAGTATATGACAACATGGGCGAGTACTCGAAAGCACTTTCAGCATACAAACGATCACTTGAAATAAAAAAAATAGCTCTCCCTCCGAATCATCCCAACTTGGCTGGTTCCTACGACAACATCGGTTTGGTGTATGATAACATGGGCAAGTACTCGAAAGCACTTTCATCGTACGAACAAGCACTTGAAATCCAAAAAATAGCTCTTCCTCCGAATCATCCCAGCTTAGCTACTTCCTACAACAACGTCGGTTTGGTGTATGATAACATGGGCGAGTACTCGAAAGCACTTTCATCGTTTGAACGATCACTTGAAATCCGAAAAATAGCTCTCCCTCCGAATCATCTCGACTTCGCTCAATCCTACAACAACATCGGTTTGGTGTATAATAACATGGGCGAGTACTCGAAAGCACTTTCATCGTACGAACAAGCACTTGAAATCCAAAAAATAGCTCTTCGTCCGAATCATCCCGACTTAGCTACTTCCTACAATAACGTCGGTGTGGTGTATGATAACATGGGCGAGCACTCGAAAGCACTTTCATCGTTTGAACGATCACTTGAAATCCGAAAAATAGCTCTCCCTCCGAATCATCTCGACTTCGCTCAATCCTACAACAACATCGGTAATGTGTATAATAACAGGGGCGAGTACTCGAAAGCACTTTCATCGTATGAACGATCACTTGAAATCGGAAAAGTAGCTCTGCCTCCGAATCATCCCGACTTGGCTCAGTCCTACAACAACATCGGGTATACGTATAATAAAGTGGGCATATATGCCAAAGCACTTTCATTTGGCGAAGAAGCACTAAATATTTATAAAAAGACACTTCCTTCAAACCATTCGAGCTTAGCTAATGCCTACAACAATATTGCGGAGGTATATAATAACATGGGCGAATACTCTGAAGCACTTTCATTGCATGCGAAAGCTCTGGGCATGCGTCAGCAGACGCTGCCTCCCGAACATCCTCACTTGGCTGAATCATATTACAATATTGGCCTTGTGTATTCAAATCTTGGCAACTACTCGAAAGCACTTTCGTCGCATGAGAAGGCACTGGAAACCAGGAAGAAAACTCTCTCAGAGAACCACACTGACTTGGCAAACAGCTACAATGATATGGGCAGTGTGTATGAAAAGATGGGTGACTACCGAAAAGCGCTTTCATATTACGAACGATCACTCCGCATTAGACAAAAGTCTCTTCCATCAATACATCCAGACACGATTCTATCGGAAAAAACGTTGATAATGTGAAAAAAAAGTTGTAATTAATTTCATTTGTGCTACTCAAAATAAACAGGGTGTGTCTCGGAATGCTAAGCTCCGGATTTCATGTCCCTCAAGAGGATAATTATCAGTTGACTTCGATGCTGTCGTTTTTGTTCGAAATGAGGGTGTGGGTAAGCTTGTGGGCTGTGGGTATCATGTTGTCCCTATGCACACGCCCAAATCCTAGTACACAAATGATCACCACCTCTCGGAAGAGACGATGATCCGATGGACGCTTCTAGTCACACATACATAAGTGTATGTTATGAAGGACTACCATCTACACGCCTGTACAGGCTACCAACAGAACGTCGGATATCCCTGGGGAGGCTAATTTGATTTAGAGCCACCCTCGAAAGCTCCGTTTATTTTAAACTTTTGTTCTTCTGTTATGAAGAACGAGAAGAAGCAGAAACGGAAAGAAGAAAAGGTAAAAAAAGATAGACAGACGCGAGAAAAGACGACGACGACATTTACGAAGTGATAATAATACGCAGTGCATGATAACAACAACCGGTTTGTGTCGATATGAAAAATAATCGAGCGCACGACATCTTCGTCGTCTTTAAAGATTTCGTGTTCAATTCATTTCGAATGTATAAGAACAACTTGAATGTCGTGCGCTCGATATTCAAGCAAACGAATGACGATCGAACAAAACAGAAGAAAGAAAAAAATAGAGAATATTTCAATTTAAGAATGAAGATGCGCATCATTTCTTTTTCTTTTTCTTTTTCTTTATACATGCTGAATTTTATTGAAAATTCAAATTATTAATGATTACATCTTTAAAACAAGCATCTTCGTTTAAAGGACCATCTAAAATAAAATAAAAGAAAGAATAGTTTCTATCTATAGAAATAAAACAATATTTATCTTTATTTAATAACTCACATTATTTTTTGTTTTTACTATTGATGTTTGTCGTTTATGTTTCTTATATATCTATAGTTATCATTGACTACTATATTAAGTGAATCGAAAAGAGAGTCGAGGGTATTGGAAGGAGATGCGATTTTTTTGTACGTATCTAAGATCCTGTGTTTTTTTTTGATTTGGTATACTTTTGAAGACAGTATGAATTCTATCAGATGAAGTATAACATTATTTTATTAATGTTTTTTAGTACAACGAATAATACAAAAGTATCTTGTTACGAAAGCATAAAGTTATCTATAAAAATATTAAATAAAAAAATTCATAGGATGCATAAATCGACAAATACGACAATAATTGTTTTAACGTCGATGTTTTAACATTTAATCCGCTTTCGAGTATCATAGAACACAAATCGATATTGGTAATTTGTAATACAAAAAAAAGATTAAGAAAAAAGAATTTTTTATGTCATTGAATGATGGGCATGAAATTGACTTAGTTTGTTCTATATAATAGAAGGAATTGTTGTCGCAGTTCGTTATTGATCAGAGACAGTTGAAAGGCGGGTGTAGGTGTGGATGTGGGTGTGGTGTGGGTGTGGTGTGGGTGTGGGTGTGGTGTGGGTGTGGGTTGAGTGTAACTACACCACACCCACACCCTATTACAAGCCGTCAGGTTCCAAAGATTCAAGATCGACGTTTTCTCGGTTCGTTTTATGATGAACATTTTTCGAAATATTGTTAAATAAGAAAGGCTAATACTCTATAAAATGCATGATTCATCCACATGCTCTATCGTATTCGAAAATGATAGCTGAAGAAGAATGAGAAAGAGAAAAAAGAGGAGAAGAAACACGCAAGCAAGAATGTGTTTGTACGTATAGATTGTGGATCACTTGAATATTTTCCAAGAGAGAAAAACAAGTATAGAATTATCGAAAGAAAAGAGGAAAGGAAGAATATTTGTCAGTATAAAAGGAGATACGTGAAACATATAATCGCACTAGGTGTTTAAGCTCACCAAACTTAACGCATTCTCCTCTTCTTACCATATGTTTTATTCTAAGAATGTTTACATATATATCAAATCTTTCTTTTTTTTATATGCATCGAAACCAATGATTTTTGACAACAGCTGCAAACCGTGCATATGTAAGTAGATAAATGAAATATATCTAGTCTCTTTTTGATAAAAATTTTTGTATTCACATTCGTATTCAATTACAATATGTTGATATTATTCATGTTTTATAGATTTATGCATTAGAAAATTTTATTCAACCTGTTATTAGAAGTAGCATGGTAACACTTCATCAACATCTATACCTTTTGTCATCAATATTCATGGTATTCATTATTATTATCATGGGTTTTATCCTATATGATGCATTGACATATTATAGTAAGCTGATGAAATTCCTAATATGTCATTTTATTTTTATACATATAGTAATGTACAGCGAATCGATAAATCCAGCTGGCATATCAATAATTATAGCAAAATATATAATCAACAGACCATCTAGAAAAACATTAATGAGGTAAATATATTTGATCTACATTTGCTTTTTTCTTGAATTCCTTTTCTAGAATTCATAGAAGAATTACTAATGAAGTATTCTTCAATGTTCATGGTATGATGATGGTATTGGTTGTTGTTGGTCTATTAATAATATTTTTTTTTTACGTAAGATTATATTTTAATCCGAACTCTTTCATTAGATTTCATTTTAGATGTATCCAAATTATTTATGGCAACGTGCTGCACAGCGTGAACGACAATTAAAACGGTCGAAATTAAGAAAAATATATTATGAAGGTTGTCGTTGGGAAATGTGCACTATTTGTCAACAAGAATTTCATTATGGTGAAGGGTGTGGGTGTGAGGATGGGGTTTGGGTGTAGGTGTGGGTGTGGGTGGGTTGTGGGTGGGTTGTGGGTGTGGGCATGGTTGGATATTCATCGCCTCCACATCCACGCCCACAGCTACACCCCCACCCACACCCACACCCAATTCTGTTTCCGACTTTGCTAGCGAATCGGATAGTGAAGTCGAAGAACAGGATACAGAAGAATGTTTCGGAGAGCGAAGATGGAGCGTGGAATGGTTTGAGCCAAAAACATTTACATTTGACTCAAGTAAATCTGGTATCAATTCATATTTACTAAAAAGTGGTGAAAATAGACCACTAGATTATTTTCATTTGATATTTAATGATAGTCTCACGCAAAAAATTGTCGAGGAGACGAACAAATATCATTTCTATACAATGCAACACGAAAATCTACCTGCACGATACCAAGAAACAATTGATGCTACTCTACCCGAAATGTATACATTTTTAGCGCTTTATATGCTAATGGCTCATACGAAAAAAAAATCTAATAAAAGACTATTGATCTACTGATCCATTGATTTCCACACCTATTTTTGCAGACATAATGAGTAGAGACAGATATCATTTACTTCTACGATTTCTGCACTTCAATGACAATGAATATCAACCATCAGATGATAAACTATATAAAATCAAACCAATAATTACTTATTTACGTGATGGATTCAGAAAAAATTTTGTTCCTTATCAGAATTTATCCATTGATGAAAGCTTGATGTTGTGGAAAGGTAGACTTAGTTTCACACAATATTTTCCATCAAAAAGGAGCAGATTCGGAATTAAAATATATATTATATGCGATGTTCATACTGGAATGATTTTAGACTTCATTATTTACACAGGCGTCTCTACGGATATAATAAGATTTTCAGATGTCAGAATTTCTGGTTCAGTTGTTATGACTTCGATGCAACCTTACTTAGATGAAGGTCGCAATGTGTTCTTAGATAGTTGGTTCACAAGTCCTTCACTTTTTGAAAAACTACATGCTAGATCAACTGGTGCATGTGGTTCTGTAAAAGTAAATAGAGTGGGTTTACCTACGTTTGAAGATAAAATTAGGCGGGATCAACAGGCTTATAAAAGTATAGATAATATGCTGGCACTGAAATAGCATAATAAAAGAGAAGTTATAATGTCATCTACATCCATTCACCTCATATGGGATTTACTGAAAAAATTGATCCAAAAACTAAACGACGAATTCAAAAACTAATTTCGATAATTGATTATAATTCTAAAAGAGGTGCAATTGACAAAATTTACATGCAAACAAGTTTTGTTGAATGTGCAAGAAAGTCTCTCAAATGGTATAGAAAATTGTTTTTTCATATGCTTGATTTATTACTTCTCAACTCATATTTTCTTTACAAAATGGAAACCGGAAAGACACTTCAATTGGTAGACTTTCGTTTACAACTTATACGGGAAATTTTACAAAATTATCATACTCCAAAAACTACAATTGGACGACCTATGCAAGGCTGTAAACCAACTCGACTCACCGCTAGACATTTTCCTTCTCTTGTACCTGAAACAACGGAAAGAAAAAAGCCTCAAAAAAAAATGTGTCGTATGTCCACATACTAAGAGAAGACCTCAGAAGAGAATAGATTCCCGTTATATGTGTAAAGATTGCGATGTCGGTCTTTGCTTAATTGGTTGCTTCGAAGAATTTCATGCCTTGGTAAATTTTTAGTTTTTTTGTATTTTTTTTTCATTTCAAAATAAACCGGCTGTATCTTTTAAATTAAGTCTATGTACAACAATTATGGTCATTAATAACTCTCAAAAGATAATTCATTTTTCGCAACACAATGTCATTTTTTTTTATGAACAAAATAAGTCCGCCGTCAACAGGCTAAGATATAAATTGTATATGAATAAATATACGTGCCAGGGCAAACTCATGAACTGTAGTGACTTGTACTAAAGAACTGGTGATCAACTCCAGCTCCAGCCCATGTGAGCTGGTGATCAGCTCCCTTCTGATCTGCTTGAAATGGCATACCAGTTCCCACTCATGAAACTGATATGGAACTGTCACATCCATACAAGATAGTCGATTGCTGAAAAGCAGAAGTTGAAACTAACAGATCGAGCTGTTTACCGATTGAAATATTAATAAACCTTTACTCAAATATTGACAAAATAAATATATAACTTCAATCCGAGAAGTAATTGATATGGGATACACATGTCATTACAGACTGTCACTAACATAAAAGTAGAATCTGACGCAGAGTAAGCCAAAGTAAATTGACAGTCATGATGAGAAATTTAATCACGTCTGGATACAAGAAAAATCCTGACAAACAGCTTTCACGTCATTTGTCGCACTTTTTTGAAAAAATCTAATAAGGTTATCCTTTCTAAAAATTAGAAAGTTAATTAATATTTCGCTCGAATGGTGCTGCATTGAAACCAAAAAGTTTTATCCCGATTTGCGTTTAACAGACACATAATGTCTTGTCCTTAAACAATGTTCGCTGCCTTTCGTAAGAAACTATACCACACGATTTATCTTTTTTCTGTTGACTTTTTCAGATCTGGCAAAAATGCAGTCTGTACAGTTTATGTCTCTATTTTTTGCTCAACTTATTTATGTGACTGATGTTAAGATGGTTGTCAACGACCATTTACTAGTTTTCTGTGTATCAACGGAAGGCTGTCCGATCGCTCGATATCAGTGTTTAACACCAATCCCTCAAGCAGTCAAGGAGGTGGAGTTCATATTGAATGAATCGAACCTCCGTTCAATAGCTATCGGTAAACGACAGATTGAGTCACAGATGTACTTCGTTGCATTCGGAACGATGTGCAAACATCAGGTTGATTATGCTTTTTACATGACAAAAGTAACTGTTCATTGTAACAATAGTAGCCAATTCAGTCAAGATACTGTATTCTTCGATAGTACAACGTTCTATGAAGCTCTTTCTTATGCGTTTGATGTAAGTCCCGATGGCCGTTTTGCACTTGGTTGTACAGACAAATCGCTCCTAATCTTCGATTTAAATACTTTACAAAACGCTTCTCACAAAATTGACTGGCCGCCACGTTTTCGACCCATAGTGATGAAGATCAGCAATCAACATGTATT